TCAGCCAAACAGTATGAGAATAAAGCTAGTTTATAGCCATGCTGGACAATTCTCCATGGTAATTGCTGCTCAGAGAGGTCTGAATTGTTATGAAAAGGACAACCTTTGATGTCTCCAGCCCTTCCCACATATAACAGCTCCTGCTCTGTTCCAAGCAAAATGCTCCCCATCATGGATTAACTAAAGATTTTTTATAGAAAAACTTCTACAAAGGGCATGAGGGGCCCAGCAGGGGAGAAGAAGCATTGCAAAATGTAAGAATGGATTAAACAGAGGATGAAGTTGCTAAAAAACTCCTCCAAAGTATGAAATCAATGACCTGGGCTCAAACTGTTTGTGTCCTTCCTCTCCTGCAATCCTGCTGTTGCTATTATTTTTGGCTTGGGAGAAATATTTTTCTGAGTCCATTTCACTTTGATGGATTATGATGCCATTTTAAATGTCAATTGATAATAACTGTGCCATAAAAAAATCATAATAAATGTTATCAGTTTAAACCTAAAGTATCCCTTTTATTAATATTTCTAATTTATGAGCTTGTTGAGAAATCTGCAGAGACAACAGGGATAATAAATCTGAGGTGAAAAGGACTCCAGGAGCAGGCTGCATGGGCTTTATGCTAGATCACTCCCAGCTGTTGAACTTCGAGACAACCAGAGCAGTTCAGATGTCACTGGGGAGATTGTTGGAGTCCAGTAAGGCATAAAGGACGGAAGACAACCTACAGGGACATGAGGATCCAGGGGTGCTGTGGGCAATTTGCAGCTGCACCGTCACAGGCAGCTGCCAGTGTCTCTGACTGCCCGAGCTCATTGACTTGCTCTGAACAGCTGACTGAGCACAAGCCCTCGGAGGTGAGGTGGTGTGAGCTGCAGCATCCATGCTGTGCATAAACACTGGACAGCTCTGACTCTGAGTCACATTTGAGAATGGGAGATTAAAGGAGATGTTTCAGAGGCACCAGGTGGAATATCATCCTGTTATTGTCTTTATCCGGTGAAAGAGACCAGTGGGGCAGGAACAGTCCTGCTCCATGACTGACAGCGTAAACACAGTTCTTCTAATTTGAGATAGGTGCTACTGGACAAAAAACTCCAAAGTATTGATATCGAGTTGATTTCAAGTCTATACATCCAGGGTTTTTCACTTTCTGAAAGTACTCGATATTTTAAAAATCTCAGAGGTTTTGTGGACCTCTAGGTCTGCTTGGCAAAGAGAGGATGAGCTGAGACAATCAACACGGTATGATTTTGTTCTAGACAGCTCCCTTCTGCTGTACAGAGTTGCCTTCAGAGCTCAGCAATCCCAGAGGAAGATATGTTTCCTGCCTCATGGAATTTATAGACTAAATTAGATGGGTAGCAAATAATTGTAACAAATGAGAGTCATCTGCATTTCCAGGTCAAACAGAAATATAAAAACATCCCCAAACTACCATGCAAAAGTCATCATATTAGAACTTGGCAGAAAAATAACTTCTTCATTTTCTGGTAATTTAAAAGTAAATAATTTCTTGTTTTGAACATAAATAGTTTGTTACATTTCAGCAACTCAATCATTTGAAAAAGGGGGTCAGGTGAACTATTTTAATTTGCAAAACGTTCATTTGCATTTCAAGCGTCTATTTTTTGCCACTCATCTTTATTTTAACATAATACAAAGCAAAGAAATTCCAAACTAGCAGTCATTCTAAAGACAGTGTTTATTTTTTTTTTTTAGTTAATGAAATAGTATTTATCACTGGTTTTCTAGTTTTGTATTAAAAATACTAAAACGTTCAAGTCTTTTGGTACTACTTAAACATTTTGACATCAAAACTACATTTTTTTCTGGAGAAACTTCTGTACACAAAACATGGGATTTCTGCAACCTTACACTGCTGCTTTCAAATCCCCTTTCAAGAGTTTATCCTGTTTCCTACTTTAGTGCTTGTTTTGTTTTCCCATGTAGAAGAAGAAAAATATATTTCTCAGTTGGCATTGCCTTCAGTTTTAATAAAAAAGAACAATATAAAGAGACAGAACAAAAATAAAGCCTTCACAAAGATGCTTTCAAGTTGTAAATTTGCATGTGAGCATCTAATTTAAACATGCAGAGAAAATCAACTTGTCGCTGTGAGCAGCAGGGAGGTTTAAAGTTGCAGACTGAGACAGAATAGTTATACAAACATGCACAATTTGATTTTGTGACATGGGACTACAGGATTGTCTCAGCAGGTGCCTGCCCAGAGCAAGTTGGTGGCAGTGGAGACAGGCAGCACACACACTCTGAACATGGGGATATGCTGGCTATGTGTTGCCAGTGTGATCATTTAATCACTGAGATGAAAACTTGGGGTCTGTCTGTCTCAACTCTCTTTACTTCAGAAATTTTTCAACAAGAAAGGACATGTATTTCTGTCAGAAGGCTAAGTTTCTTCCTTTGAAAACAGTGTCTGTTTAATGCAGCAAAAGTGGAGCTGGGGCAAGGACAAGAGATAGGAGGTGTATTTTTTGCCCTGGGACTCTCTTTGCTAATTTACCCAGCTAATTTACCCAAAGATATGAGTCGTCTCATTAGGAGTATTGGGACCTATCAGACTTTCCTGTCAAATCCTCCTCCCCCTGCAGGAGGAAATTAGCCCCTTGAACACATAAGTTTTGATAACAAACCAAAGCCAAAGCTTTCCACTGCAAAGGAAAATGTGGCCTTGCTTCATTTAACAACTGAAGCAGACAAATCCACGAGTTTCCCTCTTGCACCTTTGGAAAAGCTGACAGCACGGAGACTTAAGAAACAGGGGTCCCTAGAGCTAGTTTTCCTGTGCCTGAAACTTCCAGGTAATAGGTAGCACAGTAAACATCAGGAAGTTCAGGCATTGTCATGTATACTAAATTAGTACACTGAAGGCTGGGTCAAGGACTCTCAAGACATCTGAGAAGTGAGTAAGATTTGAAGCCCTTGCTCTGTAGGAGGCCAGTAAAACCAAGAAGAGTGGCTCCCTTTTTAGTGCCTCAGGCAAACACGGTAGGGAAAGTAAGGCATTTGCAAAAGAATACACCAGGTTTCTCCTGGTGCTTTTTAATGGGCTTTGAATCAGGAATCACAAGGAAAAAAGGGGAAACCTATTATTCAATAGGCAGTTTTAATCCAGGGTGCAGATTCAGAGCACCTGTCTTTCCCTTCCCTCTGTATACAGATAGCACACTTACCTAATTCTCATCCCATAAGTTACCCACTCTCTCATTCTGCCTAAGCAAAGAAGGGGAAGACATCCTTTTTCGTGTGCCCAGCCAGGATTACAGACACCAGCAGCAAAGTTGGAGAGGACAAAGCTTGGCCAAAGAGGCATTGGTTGAAACAAGAAGGTGTTCCCTGCTTAATGGAGAGGACCACAAGACCTTTTGCACCCACACAAACAGCTGCCACCTCGTCACACAACCATGAAGGCACAAGATCCTCCTTTATAAAAACGGCAGAGGGATGCAAAAGGAACCAAGAAAAACACTTCCCACTCTACCCCATGAATGTCACCATTCTGAAAGATGCTTGCTTTTCTACCCTGTTGCCTGGGGAGAAGCTTGATTAATAAAATCAGATAATTAAATATTCTTCATCACGACTGACTGCACCATTTTTAACCTCTTCTATTGTTCTTTTCCCCACCACCCCCACTGTTTTTCCAGTATCTAGAATCTGGAAAAAGCCGAAAGCCTTTCATCTTATCAGGTGTGGTTTATTGCCCCCTGGTTACACAGTAATTTTGGTTTCCACTCCATGAAAAGGTCATATGATGGGATATCAGCTCAAGAATTGTCAGTTCACTGGACAAATAAGGCAGGGCCTGCCAATACAATTATAAGAGCCCGATAAGGAAGGTGCAGAGGAGAACCAACAGGAGAGAGATAGGCAACTTTAGTAATTTAAAAGGTGAGGGGCAACCCCCAAAGAAGGCAAAAAAGCCACTGGGGGGAGGGAGTGGGAAAGAACAGGAGTGTATTTAACCACACATTCTTCTCAAAATAAAAATTAACGAGAAGATAGAAGTGGCTCAGGAGAGGAATCACTGGTATTCACCAGCATTAACCAGGAAATCTTCTCCCCCTGCAGTGGATGCCTAATTGGGAGGCATAAGCAACTGGTGGGATGATTATCAAGATGGCTTGCCTCATAGCTCAGGATAGAAATGAAATAATGTTTTATCTGCATAGGTGGGAGGTAGAGGGCCCTAATTCTGATTCCTACATATGTTGCAAGGGCCATCTCTTTTTTTTCTTTCTGACTGATAAGATTGGATGACGTTGAAAAGCACCTGCTTGGAAAGTTCAAAGGGTTTCCAAAGTAGAAGAAAAGAGAATCTGAACCAAAGTTGATGGTTGGGAGAGATGGCTGAAGAATAACCTGGCAATTGCTGTGAGGGAGATTTTCATATGTGACACCTAGTTGTATGCAAGAGAAGTTTACAGGTTGTCTCTCTTGCTAGTAAGTGACACAAGGGATAAATATTTGTCATGCCAATTATTTCTTAACTTTATCATGGTACAAATCCAGTGGGCTTTTTTGCAGGTTTCAGCCTTAAAGCGTAAAAGGAAGATAACTGCCCCACTGACAGGATTTACCAGCAAGAAGCAACCCTTCCCGGGGCATTTTTCACCTGGGTCTGCAAGGAGCACACCTCCTCCTGGAATGGCCATGTGATTGTTCAGAGCTCTAAATCTGAGTGGCAGGGGAAATGCTTGGCAGTGGGTGGGGTTGGTAAGGCTTTTAACCCCCACTTCTAATGCTGTCTTCCCCAGACACAGGAGTGCAGGTCTTGGTTCCGGCCTGATTAGCAGAGGGGAGCAGGTGTGTGTGCTTACTTGTGGGTTGCCTTCGTCTCTCCTCCCAGTGCTCCAGCAGGTCACCCGGGCATGGGTGGGGAGAGACACGCACCATCCCAGCTGCATGTTCCTCAGGGTGCTCCGAGAGCCAGGAGAGCAGGAGAGGACTCTCTGCCCCACAGCCACTTTGGCAGGAATACGATGGACCCCCGGGGGTGTGCTGGACAGGGGAAGCCCAGCCTGTCCTTTTCCATTGAGGAAATCTTAAAGAAACCTTCTGCCAGCACTGTCCTAAGCAGTGAAACCAGGAAGAGAAGGAACTACATTGAGAGATCTCCATCCGTAAAAGCAGGGTCACCACTGGCTGTTGGTAAGTACCAGTTATAACACTTAATGAAAATTCTCCTTTCTTACTAACCTCTAGAGCTGTCGTGTTTGATTATGTAGAATTTTTATTCCTTAGCTTTTGTAGGAATCTGACATTTCCTTAATCAGGTACAAATCATTCATTACATATACAGAAATAATCTTTAAAAAATAATTTGCTTTCAACCTCACAGTAGACTGGGCTCTGTGGTTTTGTGCATTGTAAAGCCCCACTGTCATTGGAGAGGTGAATATGCAACCTGAACACCTATTGCAGGTAGCTGTCTTCAATAACAGTGAGAAGTGCCTGTTGTAAACAAATACAACAGCCTCGTGTCTTTCCCTTTAAAAAACAGTACTCATTTTATTAAAAAAAGATAGACAAATAAATGCCTGTCATAAGTAAGGACAGGTATTCAAATTCAGGAAACTAGCCTAAAACTGCTAAAATTTAATGGAATTTTTGGAGTTTCACTTATATCAAGAGTTGACTGTTTTCTGGAATTACAGCCAAATCTCATACCAGCACCCTTTCCTGATAAATCTGACCACTCATCCCAAGCAGGAGAAATGGTCTGTAAGGGTGATGGTAGCTAAGCAGTTTTAGAACTCAGTTGCTGAAATAAGAAAAGAGAAAGTATATATGTTTAATCATTTCTGCTTATCATCATGGACACTAGGTTCTTTCATGAACTAAATAAAAGCAGCTAGTAGAAAACTTTCATGACTTTAATCTGAGCAAAGCAGCAACTGCATTAGCCTTTTTGACTTCAGTTTTCTCAGTTTAGCTGAGTTTGGCCTTGAGTGAACATTTACCCCCACTGAAGCAGTCAACAAGAGAGATAGTCTCTTTTTTTTCCTTAAACAAAGACCAATGCCCAACATTTTCTGGATTTAATATATCTTCTTCTTTTTTAATCTACATCTTCCATGAAAAGGATATGTTTTATGTATACAAACACATCCACTCAAATGAAAAATGACCTGTAGTTTTGACAGAAAATTTTCACTCACCTCTCACTCAACTGCTTTCAACAAAGCTAAATGCTACACTTTATTTTCTGTAATATGGGTTCAGCACCCCATTTCATGGCTCAGCACCCCATTTCCGAGGACACTGAATGAACCACCCATTAGTAAGGGAGAGAGTCTTTTTCCAAAAACCTGGCAGTCCAATTAACCATTGTCTATTCACATAGTTTCATCTCCTTTTATGTCTAAACTGGATACTGACCTGGACTGGAAAGCAAACAAGACCTAAGTGGGGAAGGAAAGTACTCATTAGTGTAACATTAGTCACCGGCTGGACTAGAGCTCCCTGACACTGCTATGCTTTGCACAAGATTTTTTGTTTATCTCTGACACAGGATAACTTCACTTACTCTGTACAGACTTGTCTCTTGACCATGGGACAGTCAGTTCACCACACATCTCACAGCTGGGGAAGCCCCAGGCACTGGGGCTCAGTATCTGACTGCTGCCTTTTTGCCAGTAGCTGCAGCTTTCCATGGAAACTTATGTATGGGGAAAAGGGATAGCGTGCTGCTGATTTTTCACAGAACCATAGGGTAATTGAGGTTGGATGGAACCTCTCAAGGTCATCTGAGGTACTGCCTCCTGCCCAAAGAAAGGGCTGTTTCAAAGATAGACAAGATTGCTGAAGGCCAGGGCAAGTGTTGCTTGGCTGTTTCACCACTGGTACTGTTGGAGAACTAGAGTGCTCAGAGGTTTCCTAAAGCTGCCTTTACAGATTGGAACTGGACAACTGGTCCTGATACAAGCAAAAGCTTGGTAGTTTGTAGGGGTGGACAAGGACAAGCTGATGCTGGTGCAAATGCAGTGGGGCTTGTGTGCCAAAGGAACACAGGTGCCACATTGTGAAGGGGGAGAAATGCTGGTGTGAGCTGTAGGAGCGAGTTTTTGTGAGCTGAAAGTCCTTTCTTGAGGGCCCACAGCAGTCACTTTGTGCCACTGGATCCAAAGTGAGACAGATAACATCACTGAAAACTCAGTCAGTGCTTGTTCATAACACAGACCATAGAATTGCATTTTAAGTACATGAGACTCTTCTCTGGGAACAGAGAAGCACGACAGAGACAGGACTTTTTTATATGAAGTCCGTTTCAGGATCAATATGTTGAAGCCCAGTTTCACTCCGTGTCTTGGCTAAGCGCGCTGCTCCAAGCACGAGGTCTGACAAATCTGTATGCAGGACACGGTAGGTTCCTAGGATTGTATTACTGCCTTCCAGTGCAGCCTCAACCCAAATTGCTCCACCTGAGCATACAGTCAGTTTTTCACCTTGAAAGCAATGTAAGCAGAACCACCAGGCCTTGCCTTTAACTTTGCTTTGTCACCTAGACAGAGAGAGACTTAGCTGTACCAAGGGAATATAATGACTCTTCTCACCCCTGCTAGAAAGCAAGGTTGGATTAAAATACTTAAGACAATGTTAAATGTTACCTAATGAGAAGAGTATACACACTTGAAGATTCACTTGACTGTTACTGGAGGTGAGAAAACAGGAAAGATGTAGAAATCTTCAAAAATGTTGTACTTTGCTTTTGCAATTGATCGAGGATGTTTAAAAAAGAGAACGAATAAGAAACTTTTTCACTGTTTGTTTCTTACTAACATCAAAGAGATACCTAAGCTTATTACCCTTTGCTTTCTGAACAGAAATGTGATTTATTCAGGTAAGTTTTATTTATTTCAGAAGTGCAATACCCTGTGCTGTACATCTAGGGATAATTGCCGTATTTCATCAAAGTTGTTTAACTTCATGCCATATAACAATGGCATTAAACAACTTGTGTAAATAGTCAGCCATATCTAGTATGGCTCGGTGCTGGCCAAGGTCGGGGAACTGAAATGAGCTAGGGAATTTGTTGGAAATTCCAGATGGGACACAAGTTCAGCTGCTTTCTCATAAGAGTTCGGTTGCAGCAAAGAAGGAAGTACTAAAGGTCAGGGCTGAGTTATATCTTACTATGGATTTTAAGAACATTTCCCACATCCCCTGTGGTATGTATCTGTCCAAAGCCATGATCTATATGAGAGGAAGGAAGATCTATATGGCATATGAGAACTGTATGGCACTACATACATACTCGTGGCTACTGTAAGTTAAATACTGAGGCCGAAGAATCATCATCTGATGTAGACAGACTACAAGATCACACCTGAAGTCTAAATCTGACCATTATGAGCCAAGGAGATGGGTAGGACCAGAGAAACAGAAGATGCAGAATGTCAGAAATTATTGGACTCAGTGGTCTAATGTTCAGACTCAATGATCTTAGAGGCCTTTTCCAACTCATGATTCTAAATGAGGGGCATAGGCAAAGCTTCCCAAGGAAACTCATGAATGCTGGACCAGATGATTTCTAGAAGTTGCATCTAACTTAAATTATTCTATGAGTCTCTGACAAAAAGGATGTTGTGATGTACAGTGCCAGCCTCTCATAGGAAGCTGGGGCAGGACTTGATCATATATGAGGAGATCTCTGGGCCTGACTTCTAAGTTCACATTTTTTGTGAGTGTAATTCCAGTGGGACTTGGAGTAAGGAGTGTGCAGTCTTCTCTGAAGCATTTGGCTTCCCAGTTGCAGTATTAGACATTAGGGAGTTCACTGTATAAGCACAACTATTGGACAATCTGGAGCTTCAGTTGTTGAAACCCACTGAAATCTTTGAAAGACTCTTACCAAGTTAAAAAAAACAAATAATGAACAAGGAGACATTTTAGTATGCAGTCTATGCTTTTCCTCTCATACTTTTGTCAGAATAGCTAGAAGGGGTAACCATGGCCTTTGCAAGGGACCCAAATAAACACCTAGCAAGGGCTGATCTCCTCCCTAGTGCTAACTCTTTCATCTAAAACAGAGAAGAATATCAGGTTTATTTCAGAAAAAAGTCATTCTTCTGAAATTCCTAGGAACATGATTTCAATGTACTTAAAAGTACATCTGAAATGATGTTTCTACCAGTGAGATTTTGCCTGCAGGAGGTCCTTTATCAAGTCAGGGAGAGCTTGGGATGAGGAATTAACAGTAAAAGCAGTAACAGATACAGTAATTTTGTCATTCTGCCTGTGTTATGCTCCATTATGTTAAAGATATGCAAATTAATAGGAATACGACCATTGCTTCACATACAAATGTCAATATTGTGATTGTTCACTTTTAGCAGTACTCCACCCAGCTTTATCACAAAAGAGGAAACAAGCTGAAGGAATCTAACTGAACAGATACCACCCGGCCAATACCACTAAATCACCCCACCTATTCTAAGGAAAAACAATACATCAGATACACCTGGGTAAAAAAAAAAGTGAGGCTTAAATGGAACTTACGTCATCTGAAATAACCTATTGCTTCCAAAGTGAAACCCTACTATCTTCCCTGAAATTTTCCATTCTTTTCTATACAACTGAAAGAGACCATTTTGAGCCACAAGTCAAAGTCATTTCTATGTGTGACAGCAACAGATATCTCACGTTGTGCTAGGCTGAAATGTTATTGCCATCCCTGAAAAAAACAAAACAAAACAAAACAAAACAAAACAAAACTGCATTCCCTGAGGGAAGTTTTACCCCATGTCAGTTCATGGGTATTTTTCAGAGCTCCCTGCCTAAAGAGTCACGACTTCCAACAATCTCCTTAGTTGGTCAGGACAACAAGCACGAGAGAAGGTTGCAATGAAAACTTGACTAGACCTTAGAGATCCTAACTCTGAGCTATGTGCTTTAAACTTGGTAATATCTACCTTCAGTCTTATCCTCCAGAAAACTTCCTTGATTTATTCAGCCTCTCCTTAAGGTTCATGCCCTTCTAATTTGCTTCTTCAGTCTCAAACAACAGATTTTCCACCTCCTTTTCACCAACTCACAAAAACATTGGCATCTTCCCATCTATCTATAACTGTTTTCCCTTCTCTCCCTCTTCTCCCTACTTCGGTCTGTAATTACTCTATCCGTGCTCATACATAAGTTATGCTCTTACCCCTCTCACTGGGGTATGTGAACATCTCAGAGAAAAATTTTGGGGAGGCAAGTTGTATATGAAGGACGAAGACACGTTAAAAGTCTTCTATAATTAAGAAAATGATAATGTCACTCTTAGAAATCTTTAATAACTCCCCATAAGAGCACCTTGCTTGCGTACCCTTACATTTTGCATTACTGTAGGATATAAGCATCATCAATTCTGTAACATATTAATTTTCACAGCATCACATTTAGCAAAGGAATGCAAGTAGTCCTTAATTTAGGGATGGGGTACCAAGATAGAAATCCTGGGCGCTAAGAACCTAGGCCAACACTGATATCCTCTGAGTTCTTGAGCAAATCATTTAACTGAAGCCCCATGCTTGTGACCAGTCCCAGGTCTATTCTTCTTCTTTATCCCAGAAATATTGGTCAAAACCTCACTTGTTTTCTCACCAGAAAACTCAAAGTTAGTTGATACTAAAGGAATTAAATTAATCCCATTTTGCACAATATGCCTCAAACACAGAGGTGAACCTCATACCAGGTTTTTAAAGTCTGCATGGCTGGACATATGTAATTGTGTTTAGAAGATTGGTGATGGTTTGTATAGATAACATTTGAACAACCATCCTGTATTTACATGAGGCTTTGGCTAATTTTCAGAGCTCTTATAACTTCATGTCAGTGTCAATCCTCTATAAAATTCCTATTGTGTGGGCTTTTACTGAGAGCAGAATTGGAATTGGGTGCTTTGTTTCCAGATGTTATATTTATTATTGCTCCTAAGCTGGTTACAAACAGAACTTGTTATTTGCTCAGAAAATTAACTTCCAACAAGTCTAAAAAGTTAGATGCTTTGCCAACGCCAGATATGACAACTTAAATATGTAAAATATATCTGTAAAATGTATATTAAAAAGTGAAGTTTCTTCCAGTACTACCTGTAATGGTTCACATCTGCTGCCGTTTAGATATGAGAGGGGAGAGGGGACCAGCCACAAGTGCCACAAACCCCAGAATGTAGGTGTGTGTGACTGCTCAGGAGTGCAGTCCTTTATAGCATCAAGATTTTAATGTTCTTTGGCAGTAATAGCAGACAAACCTGTACTGTCACAATTGCTTCAGGGTCTCGCAAACCATAGAACTAAAATTCCCCAATGGGTATATTATGTTTATGTGTTGCCTCTTAGTCTGCCTTTCCAAGCAAAGAAATCCAGGCATGGAGGAAAACTAGAGCAAATTCTAGATTTGCCATTAAAGCAGTATAGACACAATTGTCTTGTCTCTAAAGAGTCAAACCTAAGCTTTGATTGCAACTACCAAAGACAGCATATAAAGCATTCAGCATTGGGGTTTGTGGCAAGGCTTTAATATAGAAAAGAAGGAGGGTGGAGAGTGGGAGTATTTGATATACCTCTCTTGGGATGCCAACAGCCACAGACAACCACTACCTTGAACCACAAAGCCTCCCAGTATGTTATATTTCAGTGCATGGCTTTGCAAGGTCCATTTACAAGGAAGAGTAAGAACTCATACCATATTCATGAGGGCAGAAAACTAATCTGGAAGATCTTTGAGGTGCCCCTGCTACACACTGAGATAATGCTGTTAGTAGTAAGGCAGTGCTGTGGCTGAAGAAAGATTGTGGCTTCTGTGACCAATTTCCTAACCACTCAGGGTCAGGTGTCCTAGCACGTCATCATTGGTTACTGCTGAGGTTACCTTAGAGATTGTTTATAACATCCATGCTCAAATCTAAGTTAACATTACAGCTGCACTTCATGAAAATGGGCCAATATGTACTTCTCTTGTTTGTCCTGTCAACAAGAGTGTACAGGTGCTTTCATGAAGATGAGTTGGCTGTCAGTACCTTCCAAGTATCACCAGTGTCACCTGTCACAAAGGCAGATGGGAAATGTTGAGAGCCTGGGCAAAGGCTGCCTTTAGAATTGTCCAGTGCCTAAATCAGAGCAGCAGGCAGCTGGATGAAGAAAAAAGGATGGAGAAGAAAGGACAGATGGACCTTATTTGGGGAAGACACTAACCTTTATCCTATTCATTGGCCCATTTTCCTATAGGGTAGATGCACTTACAGGGAGATTTAAGGAAGGACCATATTTTTAAAAGCATTTGGCATCCAGCAAATTCCACAGCAATCTTGCCATCAGATTTTCAGAGCAACTCCATACCTACTGTATTTCTGAGTTCTTCAGAACAGGCAACCACTAATTTGGATACTGACAGAGAAGCTGAAGTTTCTTGATCCTTTGATCACGTCTCCTTATTTCTACAGTCCTTTTTTTAAAAATCTCCCATGAGGACCATTGAAAGTTTCAAGGTGGAAGGAAGCAGAGAACAGGCTAGATTTAGTGGTCAAATTCACCAGGATCCTGTCCCTGCAACATGGGGGAATCTTGGCATTGATGCACAGAAGGATTAAGGCCATTTTAAATATGATCTGGTTAGAATGGTACAGTATCTAGGCCACTTTCTTCACACAAACTAGAAGCTGCGCTGAACGGTGGTTGCTTTACTCAAAGCTGTCTTGTGCTGTGTCCTTCACAGATTCCAGCAGCAGGAGTCAGTTAGAATGTGACTTACCTTCAGCCAAAATGCTTCTCTCCACCACATGTGCTACACCCATTGCCAGAGCAAAGAGAGTGCAGGCAACTCACTGCAGAAGACCTAGAGACAGCCCAGTGTCCCTCCTGGGTGAGGACATAGGACGTGAACACCTGGAAGGCAAGAGAAAACATGAAGAAGAGGAAGATCAGCTGTGTGATTTCCCAGTGGACCATCCACTTCATGGTGAGTGCCTCTATATCCAAACTTTCTCTTAGAGTACCCAAAAACCACGCTTGTTATTTTACAATTATGTACATGGCAATACCTGGCAACAGACGTCACAGAATGTTTCCACTGGCTGAGTCACAGTAGATGGTTATAGCTCCTGGATGAGTCACAGGGATGGTAACTCTTCACTCTTGCCATCAAAAACTTGGAGAGCCACCTTTTGAGCTAAAGGTCTACCTCAGGCCTGCCAGCCCTACCAATGTTAGTGATAGGGACTGCTTTGGGTGTTTATTGCCCTCCTGCTTGGGGTGACAATCTACTGAGTTACCATGTTGGGCAGCCTTACTCCCAGGGTTGTGCAACGCCCGTTTGCTGGTAAATGTGCATTGCACAACATAGGGAGACTGGCTGCTGAATGTGCCTAATCAGCTCAATGTGTTCTGTACACCTTGGACCCACTGTACGGGTGATGGAGAGGTCATCAGCATGCACACAGGCAAACTGTTCATGTGCATAGATCTGGCAGGATGTGTCAACAAACAGCAGTCTATCTTTCAGCCAAAGCACTAGGTAGTACAAATAGCCTTTTCCAATATGTTGCACAGAGACTTTAGGCTAAGCAGGATATATGGTACCTGAACAAGACAAGTTCCTAACATTCAGGCAGCAATTTATTAGTAACATGTGACAAAAATTGCTTTAAGTTCTTTGAATTTGAGGAAAGGTAAACACAGATGTTTATACTACACTCCAGAAAACAGGTTTTCAGTAGCAGCAGAAAGGTGTTTCCTGTACAATTTGTTATTATTTACTCCAGAAAAAAAAAAAGGAGTTTCATTTAAGTCAGTTGAAAACTACTAGTGGGCTCATGTTACCACAGATGCGGGGTTACTCATCTGGCTTCCCGGAGATCCACACATCATCCCTGCTCCATACTCTGCAAGCTGGCAGTGGAAACAACTCTTTCTGTGAAATACATTTAAAATAAAAGCTTTGTTTCTGCTGCTGATGCTAAGGTATACATCAGTCTTGTGACAAGCTGCTGTCATCTCCTCCTCCTGCACAAGGCAGACATCAATCTTGATGCAGAGAGAAGCCTTGTAAGATAACTGGGTATTTTAGCCTCCCTCTGCCCTGTAAGCTGCACTCAGCCGATGGTAGCAGGGTAAAATCCTGTTGCCTCCTCACAGAAAAGCCAGGGCTGTATGTATCTGACAGTCAGAGTTGCCTCTGAGTATAAAAATACCATATTTCATGTGTGAGGGAGTCCCCAGCTACAAGTATCACACCAGAGGTGGGAGGTGGCTGCCCCAACTTGGCACTTAGCCTCATTGACCAGCACCATGGTCTGTATCAGCCTCATCAGTAAAGCAGGGGAGGAAGCATGTAATTATCTGCACAAAACTGAGCCAAGATGAGCAGACCCTTTCAATGACAACTTATATTTCAAAGGCATTTTAAACAAAATCCATCTGTTCCCTGGAGGCGGTGGAGTTTTGAAACCAAGCAGAGGTTTAATGATCTGCCATTTTCTAGGCTACTGGTTCCCGCAGTTATTGAGCCTTTGATAGAAACTGGCTGATGAAGGAGGGATGATCCTAAAGAACTGGATTGGCATTTTCCCCACAGTGCACAAGCGATGATGTTTCGGATCCTGTTCATGCACTTTGTCATTCTTAGCAGAGAGCTGGAGGCCCAGTTTTAATGCTGGTCTTTACAGCATCTTAAGCTTCAACCTTCTTCTTCCACTTAACATTAGGGGAAAATGCTGGTGGATCTTTTTCTCTTGCCCCTGGCTGTGGCTGGTGTCACCTTTCCTTGATGAAATCAGCAGCAGTACCTGCAGGACGGGCAGACTGCATCATCTCTGTAAGCAGTCTATAATCCTCACAGCTCAAGCTGATAGCAAATTAACTTCTCTTTACATGTCTATTGACTCTGGGGTGCTTCAGACGCACTTTTGGCATGGTAGCTAGAGATTGGTTACAGGTCCTCTGACAAGACACCTGCGCAGTGCCAAATGCCCATAGCATATGCCATGGAAGTGTCCCTAGGATCTCCCTCACAACCACACCGAGGATGCCCACAACCACCCAGGGGAACGGCACCAGCCTCAGCAGCAGGAAACCTTCCTGGTGTGAAAGACATCAGAAGCCCTTGGCAGGGTGCTCCCTCACCTCCCTCTCTCAGCCTACCTCTATCTATATAAAACACCTACATCATTTGTGAGGAAAGGCACTGGGCTCTGTCTAGGCATACACATCTGTTTAATTGTCAGGGAACAGAAGAAATCAGTAACACTATACAATCACCTTGGAGGAAGGAGGGCTGGACTTTGGTGATTTTTTTGATAGAGTGAGAAAAGTGAGGAGGAGGCTATGACAGTAGCCCCCCTCATGGGCAGGTGGTCTGAGATAACAAGAGCACCCTGACCATGACCCAGAGCATGAATTTGGAGCATATTTCCAGGAAACCCTGTAACAATGAAGTGTCCCTAAAAATTTGTTTTTCCCACAAAAATGGCTTCTGCCACTAAGCGGTTTAGAAATGCAGTGTCATTTAAGCTAAATAGATTTATGCCCTTATCACAAACCATTTGCAGGGAGCAATGCCTCTTGTACTTTGAACTTAGAGACTGCATTGTAAGCAAAAAAAAGAGAAGAGCTCTCATATACTAGAGACATGCTGACAGTGGCATTTGGTTTTGCTAAGCCCTCATTTGAATTTGGGAGCCTTCGTCCTCAATGTGGAGTGGTTTCACCTGTGTGGCTTTCTTCATGAAAGCTCAGCAGAACTTTTTCAAAAAACCTGGATTCTTGGGAAACAGCATTGATAAAACCTGTTTTAGAAGGAGATCATTCTAAAGGAGGCCTTTGAGCTGCCAGTACAGACTCTACTTGGGCCAGCTCTCTGTGGGATGAGTAATTGCAGCCACTTTGGTATTTGCAACCACCAGTGCTGCTAAAGCAAGGGCAAACTCTTGTGGCGGTCGCTCGGCATCTCAACAGTATGTAAACACCCAAATCCTGAGCACCCACTTTCCTTTTAATTAGTTCTCTTTTCTCACTCTGATGTCCTTGGGACTTGACCAGTTCACAACAGTCAAGCATTGGAGCCTGAGACAACAATGTATCCCCATGCCTACCTGACCTGTGGCAGCTCCTGATGGAGAATGCCATGTACAAGATCCCAGCCTAGTTCAAATCCTTATGGACAATTATTTTGCAATGTCTTTTACACATACTGGGTCCGATTGTACACATCTGTGTGTGTGTGTGTGTGCACTGTAAATATTTACATCCAAAAACAGTGGGTCAATGTGCCCAGCATTGCACATGGGTAATGATTCCAGTCTTCTACTCAAGCAAGGGAACAATCAGTGCCTTGGAGAAGCCAGACAGCAGCATCACTTTAAGACACTGGTGGTTATCTGGTCTTGTGGGATACCTTCTCTGAGCAATAATTCAAGGACAGGATAGATCACGCTTCAATAAACAGAACTAGCTCCTAATTCCACCAGAAACTGAGAGGTTCTGGCTGTGAAGCCTAGGTGGTTCAGGGACTCGTGTTATTTACTGCAGCTCATGTCTTCATTATTCGCTGTAAAGGAAGCTGCCACAGTGAGTCAACGTCACCTAAATATTTCCATAGTGAAAATCCTCTGCACAATGCTGACTGGGAGCTCAGGGATCTTTTTATTAATCTAATTGTTTTATTATTATGGTAGCATCTGTGATCCCAAAGCATATTGACAAATTCTGATGGCAATTACGATAAAGACAATGGAAAGTATAGAGATAATCTCAGTTCTGGAGAAATTCCAGTGTAAATCATGTTCCCTCTGTACTGATGCCAGTTGCAGACATCTTTAGCTTAGTGTTCATGTTTTCTCTGAAGTCATAAATTCACTTGTACTGTTCATTTGCAAACAATATGGTCAAATCCATGTACCCCTGTGAAACAGCATGGTTTATCTCTCACAAAACAGTCTTTTCCCCAATATGCTGACTTATCTTAATGCATTTTTGAAACACCAAAGAGATAATGAAGCACTGTATAATCACAGTCCCAGATAAATATCAGCTGCCCAGAATATGCCAATGGGACTGCGAGAAAGGGCACAAGCATCCCACTGTCCTGCAGAACAAAAAGAAGGATTCTAAACAAAAAGGAAAAGCAAGAGGGAAAAAAAATGAATGCCTATATATATAGTTTGGCTGCCATTAGTTGTCTTACCAGTCTTTTGTTTATCTGTGTGAATAGTCCCTGCAGCCCTGTGTCTCTGAAGTGCAGTGTTCTTCTATATACATTTAGAAATGCCCCAGACCATTGACCTTGTTTTGGTGAGTTTACCTGAGGTATTGTTAAAGGCTGGTCCTTTTTTTCTCCCTCTTTGAAGACTGGCTGTTTATAAGGACACCCTGGATATTAAATGAAAGGACAAAACCTTAATCCTTTACTCCTGCCCTTCAAAAATAAAAGTCTCACTGATACAAGTAAGCACTGAATAAAGCAAAGCTGTCAGCAGCTGGGGGACTATCATAAATTTCATTTGTGTTGTTTCTTCATGGGTTTGGGGGTTGGACTTTTATTTAGTTAAAGCAAATATTAGCATTCAATGCTTTCCTCAAGCAGTCTCTTCTTTTCTGGGAATTTTGAATCCAAAGGGTACCTTATACAGGACTCAGAGGTTAATTTGTTCCTGCTGGTCAAATCTGTGTAACGTGACCACTTGTAAAGCTGATGGCACATCTTGATAAGTTTATTTCAAAGGTCTTAATGAATACTTGGCTTCACTTAAATTGTCCTAGAACTTTTCATTACGTCCCCGGGATATGGTACTTTTAATTATTGTTCTTTGAAATTGAGGGCAGGTGTTTTACTTACTCTATTAGCAAGGCCTTTATGCTTAAAGGGGAAACAGCAGAAACTACATACCAAAATAATGATGGAGTTATGCTTTCTTGGAGGAAAGACTCTGAGGCAGGGATGTAAATAAGCATGCCTGATTGATGTCTAGATGTTTGCAGGTACAAAGAACCCCAAAGAGCAGGAATAAAGTAGAAAACAGGCTCTCTGTGAAACCTGCAATAAGCTCAGCTTCCTCCCTGGTCAAATGGCTGGTTTTTCACAAAGATGTTGGACCAGACAGTGTGGAAAGAGTGGTGGAGAACCTCTTTTCCTTGTTGAGAACCAATGGCCACTTCTTTCAAGATGAAGTTTGACTATGGCTAAACATTCACTGAAAGTACATTTCAAGTTTGAGATTTAGCAGAATGGGGAACGTACACATGTACCCCACATCTACTTTGGCCTGAAGGAGTTCAAGAAGGTGCAGGCTCTTCAGCCTAGGTACAGACCTGATGGTTGGACTCCATGATCTTAGAGGTCTTTTCCAACCTTAACGATTCTATGATTCTCTGATATTCAGATGGTGGAAACTGCCACACACCCCTGTCAGCTGAGGCCCCTCGAGCCACGGCCTGCATGCTTCATCCTTCAGATGTTCTGCTGACCACTGGCTGTGCCAGAGTTATGCACAACACCATTTCAGGCAGCAGCACTTGTAAACACTGTCATCACTTTGCTGGCAGACGAGAAAGGTTAAATTCACCAGGGGCTCAGGCTGATGGTGAGCACAATCCTCCACAACAAACTGTTCGCATGAATGGTTTCATACATACTGTCTACTCCTTGCCAACTCCTTTGACAAGTAGACTAAGAAACTCCCTTGGCCACCACTGTTCAGCTTGCCTAAACAGGTTTCTGGCCTGATATTTTTAGCATTGCTGCTCACACTACCTGAAGTCTGTACCTCTCTGCATTTCAGTTTTGCTGTCAAGTGATTAAGGCACTGCCCTCAACACCAAGGCGGAAGCAACTTTCTGTCAAGGAGTTGTGGACTGAAGGGAGGAAGTCAAGACTTTAAAAGTTCAAGTTGTGCTTCTCTCTCTTAACTTTGGCAATGCCTGAACAGTCAGCAGCTGGGTGCTAAATGCTACATTTCACTAGCAGGAGGCTTTATCTGGAGCACATTGTACCTATCCAATTAGGATCAGTCTCGCTGGCTATGCTAGTGCTTCTCAACAAAGGCTGAAAAACCACTTTAATAAAGATTAGCCACACTGCAATAGTCCCAGCTAAATATTGCAGCACAAGCTCTTTTGAAAGCCATAAGCCACCTCTTTAACTAGGAGAGGGAATGCCATGGGCACATCTCTGTACACAACATTTTGTCCTGATACCATCAGTACTGTGTAATAACCCTTTGATAGAGTTGCAACTGTGTTTTTTTCTATGGGGCTGTCTGTCATGGGCAGAATGTCACCATAAGATAACCACAGAAAAGCCACAGGAAGGAACTAGCTTGGAGACCCATATATCTAATTGAAGAGAAGAGAGAGGAACATCTTTTTCAAAGGCAAGAAGGAGAAAACAAAACTTAACCAGATATAATGAGACTCTTTTTCAACACACCTGAATTTGCTTCTGAGAAACAAGTGATACCGTCAACTTTGTTGCACAGACAAAAATGCATTTCTGAGGATGCGTAGCTAAAGCCACTTGCTTGCTTATGTAACTGTTTTCTCCTTGTCAAAGAAGAAACAAAATCTTTGGATCTGGCTATCCCATACTATGAGAGAGTGCCTGTCCAGAAATGACAAATAGGATTGCACCAGTTTTCACCTATCCAGTTTACCTCCTACAAAGTAAATATGTGCCAGCACTGACTTCCAGCCTTTCTCCTGGGTTTTTAATTCCTTATCCCTCCAGTGTATGCACCCATGTAATGAGACCAAGAAGGCTTGAAACAGTCTTAGCCTGCTAAAGGGGTAAGTGCAAATGGGGAATGCAATTGCAGAGATCTCCCTGAGACAGCATTTTTCTAGCTGGTTCAGATATGCAGGGCAGCTGAGAAACAGCAGTGCAAGGTGTACCATAGGCTATCTGCCTACTACAGATTATAGCCCAGAAGAAATTTGCCCCAAGTATGGCATTGTTGCAGCTGCACAACTTCTACTTAGCAAACTGTGAATGTTAGCAGACATGTACAAGCATTCAGTATTCAGTATTCAGTATTGATTTGCTCCTACTTCTAATATCTTGAAACTGTGTTATACAGGACAGTGAAAATAAGCCATTATATGTTAAGCTAAAACTGTGTATACAAGCAATTGCAAATCAGACTCTTTGAGCTGTGCATAGTATTAAAGACTTAAACTCCCTTACTCTTTTAGGGAAGAAATGACGGGGTGGTTTTACCCTATGTGGGTATTGGTAGGTCAGAGATCACATAAAAAAGTAAGTTGGGTGAGACCTCTGGAGGCCACCTTGTCCAACCCCAAATCTATGCAAAGCCAGCTTAAATCAGATTGCTTAGGCCTTTGTCCAGTCAAGTTCAGAATGTCTCCAAGCACTGAGACATCACAGCTTCTCCAGGCCCACGTCAGACTATCTTCATGATGAAAATATTTTTTTTCTAGTCTGTAATCAGAATTTTCTTTGCTGCAACTTGTAGCCATTGACCTCATCCTTCCACTCTGCACCTTCAAGACGAATCTCTGTTTCTACAAAGTTCAAATGTCCCAACTTGCTCCAAGTCTGACCTAGTAAGAAAGCAGATCTGCAGAGGACAAATGAGCCTGCTACTGAATTTAAAGGAGCTATACTGCTTTATCAGCTTGGAGAATCTGGCCCTTCCAATGTCAACAGCAAGGCAATGTATAGACAGCTGTATCTCTAAGCATCTGAGAAGGCTGACATATTTAGCTACCTGGTATTTTCAGGCTTGGTTTCAGCAGTCAGCTAACCTGCAAATGACTTTCACAGAGCATAAAAGCGCACTTGAATATCCCCAGCTTTTACATAAAAAAATAGCTCAGGAAACTCAGACAGAGTCTTATTTCCCCAGAGACTCTATAGCCACATTTGAAAAGCCAATGTTACACTTCCAACACTTTCTAGTCTTATATCTTCCACCCACATTCTTTATTAGACTGTAATTCTGAATGCTGTTGTTTGCTATGGGATCTCTAAGCTAAGGTCCCAAGGCAAAGGGAAGTATCACAGCTACAGTCAGAGAAAGTTTCATCTTGCAAGAGCAGATGTTAACACAGAGTCCAAGATTTTTTTTTATTTCTTAATAGTTTAAAAAAAATAAAAATAGAATGACTGATTACCTGTAGAAAAATGCACTTTTCTGGATTTCCTACTGGCAAAAGCTTTGATTAATTCACAGGGTTCTATTTTGTTATCAATTTAATTCTATTTCTAGTTGAAATCAAAGCTTGTCCTTCAGTCTCTACTGGCCCATAACTGACCTCATGTTACTGTATTTTGTTCAATTTGATGAATTTTGGCTTTGAAAAGTCTGATTTCAGTAGGATTGACACTTCTGAGCACTGTGTAGACCCTTCCCTTATGTAAGAGTTTTGTTTGTAAAACAGTTCACCTTTCAAGAAGGAAAAACGTGAAGGATATCAGAGAGGACTGATAGGGAGTTTCTTTTGCCCATCACCAAGTTATCCGGGTCATTTTCACACCAAAGAAACTGATCTCAGACACAAGAAACTCTTGAACCAGTTCTCTCTCAAGCCATGCTCTCTAGTCCTGGATGCTTCTTAGGTGGTAATGGCACAGAATATAGTAAGCCATTATCTGACAGACAGACGCCTTGCCCATCCCACTTCCAGCAGCTTAAAATACTGTCTGGTTCAAGGCAATGGATCTGTCTCTCAAGTACCATAAGGTGTCCCAGCTCAGCTAAAAGTTGCTTCCCAAATTTACACCAGCTGTGCACAGCCTTTGCCTTCTCATTCTCATGTACTCTTTGCAGCAAAGATTTTGCAGCTCCTTCTACACTCGTGATCTTCACTACTGAGTTTATTCCACACCTGAGCCCTGCAGACATGGTATAGCATTGTTTGTGACAACTGATTTCTTGAATTTGTCTAGGTCGATTAATCCAATAAACTCTGTACCAAGTGTCCTGCCTAAGACAAGAACTAATGGTTGCTGTTTGCATGGTGCCTGTCACAATGAGGTCTGATCCAGCTAGTCTTTGGCATTTGCTTCAATCCCATCATGGTTCAGTTCAGTCACCCCAATTCTTTTAACCAAGTCTGGTTAAGGTATGAGACAGAAGGGACTAAATCATTATATTTTGTATTCTGATAGAATACTAAAATACACCTTTTTATTATTATTTGATGTGACATCTTATGGTTTAAAATGTAGACAGTTTCTTTCTTGCTTTGCAGAGTCATGAAATTATAATCCAGTTCATCTAGTGGGGGGGGTAATTTTTTTCTAATTCAGAAACTTCCAGGATGTAGGCAGGATTTCTTGCTTCATTCTGGAAATGCTGAAGATAGACTGCAGCTTCTCCCAGGTTTGTAGAGCCAGTCTTCTACCCTGGATAGAGGCAGGAACTCAGTTCAGTGTTCAGAGAGACATACAGGACATCTCAGGGAGGCATCAAATTTCTGAGGCTGTGACAAGGTTAGGGTAAACTTCACTTGTTGTGGGGATCTACTACATGAATTGCCCTGTAGTAGAGCAGTGTAGATACCATAAATCATATTGATACAAATACAGCAGAGAGATTCACTACTGTATGATAGAACACAATATACTTGACAAAATACCATTTTGGTACTCAATCTTACCTCTCTGGAGTATCTCCCTGGAGGATATGGAGGGCAGTCCCCACATAGATGTGTGAGGTGAAAATCTTCCAGACAAGAAACACCATGATGAGCCATGAACCCTATCATATCTACAGGGGATGTAGTGTCCTGAGATTCATACTGTCAGCACTGATATCTCCCTTTATTGGATGCAGCAATAAACCCCCTTACAGACATCTTTTGGAAAGGTTGAAGTAGATGTAATCAGGGCTTCTTAGGAGACAGTGCCCATTCATACCTTCAGTATAAACGCACAAAAATATTTCTCATCTCAAATCTCTGCTCCAATAGTGCCAGCAAGATTCAATGTAAATAACATTTTTCTCTGGGGGCTGAAGCAAGTGCTGCAGTTTAATGAGTAGTACTTTGATAGTCTGGTGGAAAGCCTAATGACATGGATTTAACTGTGTTGGACATCAGCTTTATTAGGCTGTTTCTGAGACAAGGTAGTATTGACAGTGTTTATGATAAATGACACTCCTCAGTTATTCTTGCATGACTGGTTTCCTTTCAAAGTACCCAAAAGGTTTAGAAATTATGAAATATTCGCAGTGGTATCGTGTCCCAGACTCTTTCCCACCAAGTCAATGGACAGAATTTTTATTCCTTATTTTCTATGTTAACAGAGTCATGATGAAGTTTTGATTAGAGATGAAAGATGCCTTTTTCTGGTTGGCACAGAGCCCAATTTATATTGGCCAAGGCATTTAGTTACCTTTTCACAGTTTTAGCCTTCAAAAGGAAAAGCATATGCTAATAGATGAACAAAAAGGGGCGAAAAGAAAGCACAAAGTTGCTTTGAGGGACTGCTGTTTAACTGTTCCCATTAGGAAGGGTATGCATCTACTTACATAGTATGAATTGGTAGTTGTCATCAGACCATGGAAGACCAAAAGCAGTTATTCAAAGCAGTCATTTTTTTGAGCAACAAGGTTTCATTGACAATTGCTCCAGGTCACTGAATAGCAAACTCATCATAGCCACTAATGATATCGGAATTTTTATGCTCCTATCAGGCTGCAGTTTTCCAAGCTCAGTAGAAGAAACCCTGTGACTCACTGCACTTGGAGCATGGCTTTTTGTGCTGGTCATTCAGTGTCAGTTGGAAGATATTCCACTGGTGCATCAGAGAGGATTCCAGCCTTGGGGCAAGACTGCACTCCACATTCCGCAGATCAGCTGCCTCAGAGCTCACTTCTGCTGCTCTTTTCCCCTCCTTGGAAGACATCAGCCCTTCAGCATCATTTCAGAGCAACCTAGACCTTATTTTAACTTACACCAAGTGTCACACAAAGTTCATGGTCTAAATAAAATACCTGGTGTAGGAGGGCATTTTCAAAACAGTATAGAAGTGCTGAGGGACGTCTTTAGCGTGGTCACACCACAGCAGGTGAAGGAATGGAGCAGTCTATGAGTCCCCTGAGGAATTCACAACACCGAAACTTCCCCATGGGTTTTAAGGCCTTGTTTTAAGGTTAAGTTATGAAGGCTAAGCTTGTTTAGAAAGTCCACACACCACAATGGTATAGTCAGAAAAATACCTTTTCTTTATAACTGCAAAGTCAAAATGCTGGCTATCCCTACTGCTGAAGGAATGGTATGGGAAGAGAACAGTGGTGAGTCAGTCTGTAATGGTCAACTTCCCTCCACAACATTCACACATTTTGGAAACTCTTTGATCTTGTTGGGAGGAGAAAATTCATCCAAATTTGTAGAGTGACAATGCAATAAAATAATACATCAGAGCTGGAGGAAAGCTTGGTAAGATCAGTATGACAGGAAAAGATAGGGATGGGTAATTGAGCACTGCAATCAGTTGCCCAGAGAGGCTGTGGAATCTCCCTCACAGGAGATATTCAAGAACCATCAATGTAATCCTGTGCAATGTGCTCTTTGAATCTTCTTGTAGTCCTACAGGTTGTTCCTGTAAAAAGCAATAGACCTTTCTTTGTTTTCACAGTTGAGAGGAAAGGGAAACGGAGAATCCGGACAACGTTCACAGCTGAGCAGCTCCAGGAACTGGAGAGGATTTTCCAAGTGACTCACTACCCAGATGTCCATATTCGCAATCAACTGGCAGCAAAGATAAACCTCCCAGAAGCCAGAGTTCAGGTATATTGTTTCTCCTAAAGGCTATGTTCACTGCAGCAATTCATTATTCAGAGTACATTCTTAATAGCTTATGCCTGGGTGACAATGCTAATGAATTACGTGACCTCTCTCTTACCTTACAGACAAGGCCAGTATCACTGTTCTCCTTTTACAAATAGGGAAGAAGTATTTGTCACCCAACTGTGACTAACCAAATGGGATTAATCAAAGGGTTAGCAGGAGCTCTAAGTGTACTAAATGCATAGCAAATAGGAGTTACAGATGGTTATGAGCAACCTGTCGGACTCTGTAGCGACAGAGCGGCCATTTATGAAAATATTTATTAGTCATTTATCAACCGTTTACGGGCTAATATTCATCCAGTACAAACTGTCATCCACATCCATCTTCCACAGGGTCTCAAAAAATGTGGAAATAGCTGCCCAAATGAAAATGCTTTCTTTAGTGTTCTGTATTTTGGTATCACAGGCTATAAATGTCCCGGTTGTAATTTCAGTGCACAGAAAGTAATCCAGTTTCCCTCAGTTGTAATATAGTCTTGCTGACTGAGCTAAAAATTGACCCCAGATGTTTACTGCATATGAGATCTGCTACATTAAAATGTACATATCCCTGTGTATTGACATTTGGTGTTGTTTATCAGGCACTGTTGAGATGATTTTTGCACAAGGTAGTTTCTTGCCATAATTGTAGAATCATTGATGCACTTCTATGCACATATCCCACTCTAACAATCAAAGTTCAACAGGAAGCAGTTTATTGACTATGACATGCCTGAGGCTGTTGACTAACCATGATGATATTGCTTCATAGTTAGGTGACAGGGAGAATTGGAACTGCATAGCCACAATATGCCTACTAGTGATATCAATGCACCAACAATGCATTTCCAATGGCATAAGGCACGAGCCGGGCTACCAGCCAGTGTTCCCAACAGAACAACGAATCACAGGAAAGAAAAGGGCACTTTTCTGTTTTAAAAAATTATTTATAATCTGTATGGGGAAAAACAAAAATGAGTTATTATGGGAAACATCAACCTGAAATGTAAACGAAGGAAGTAAAAAGTCCACGACGTATGAATTAAAGATGACAAATAACCAGTTCAGATAGGGTTACACACAACACAGGAAATTCTGTGTTTGACTTCATCTTAGCTGCTAAAGGGAAATCAGCCACAGAAGCAAAAATTAGTAGTAACTTAGGTGCGAGTTACAAGCTGTTATAATTTTGATTGATTGCATTTATCACATATAAACCAAATAGCATGCTGAGAATTCACATGTGCTCTTGGTACTTTGAAATAATAGTTTTCACAAAGCTAAAGCAATATAAGTCAAATCACCTCAGAAAGGTAATTTAACTGGGGAAAAAATGCGAACAACAATCAGATAACCAAATAAAACATTTTATAACTGTGAAAAAGCTTGTGTCCTCCAACCAATAAAAAAGATATGACTGCTGTGAAACAGCTTAAGTGAATAGATGAAATTGCATCACTGCATGTGTGCATGCCTACATGCAAGAGAAAATGAAGAATGCTGGATGAGTAAACATTAGAAACAAGAAATTTAAAAAAATGAATAAGCAGAGCAGGAGGTTACAGGCCAGAGTTTTGGTCAGAAAAACTCTAGATCAAAAACTCAATAAAAGTCGATTAAGAACAAAAAAACAAACCCAAAAGTAATCAATTATATTGATCTGTTATTTTACTGAAACAGTAGGACTGTCAAGGATACGGCCTAAATAGGAAAGATGTTCAGTCATAATTTCTGCTCTATCTTTGGACATATGTCAGGTAAGGTGGTAACACTTTCTGTAAGGACAATGTTGAACAGCAGCTGCTACAGTTGTAAATATAGACATCTAAGTGACTTACCTTCAGTAGTTCTTAAAAAGCTGCTTGAGAAGCACTTTGGATCATCAGTGTTAACATTAAATCAGTCCTGGAGCACAAGGGATGTTCCAAGGGCCTTGAAGAAATGTAACGTTGTGTCAGTACTTAAAGGGTAAACAGGGAAACCTGTCAGCCAAACACTGATTTTTTGCAAAACTGTGAAAAAGATGATATGAGTCTCTGTTAATGAAGAGTACACTGGCTTATGGAAAAAAAGATGCTGCCAAAGTCATCTTTTTATGATGAGATTATCAGTGACAATTTTAAACTGAAAGAAGATTGATTTAGGAAGATAAGAAAGACATTCTTTATAGTGAGATTGGCAAGACACTGGAATAGGTTGCCCAGAGAAGTTGTGGGTGTCCCATCACTGGAAGTGTTCAAAGTCAGGTTGGATGGGGCTTTGAGCAACCTGGTCTAGTGAAAGATGTCCCTGCCCACAGCAGAGGGGTTGGAACTAGATCATCTTTTGAAGGTCCCTTCCAATTCAAATCAGTCTACTGTTCAATGATTCTGTGTATTTGGTTTATTAAGGTAATTGATATCATTGATGACATGGCACTGTGAAGATCTTACCTTGGTCCCACAACCTGCTTGGATTAAGAAAACAGAGCAGATCAAATGGCATGTGCTAGTAGACAAAAAACTAGGTCTGCAACAGGTGTCCCACGGCAACATTTCAAAGGTGATATGTCATAGGAACCATTTACTGACAAAAAGATGAATTTGAACTACATAATTAGTAAAACAAATGGAGGCCATTCCTACAATATGGGGCATATCACCCTCCCTCTGCATTCTATTTTAGTCCTTGTAAATGAGTCTTGTGAAATCTCTGTCAGGGTTAAGGAGGCATTTGCCCCTGGTGTGACTTTTGTGAACACACATGGGAGTATTGTGCTCTGTCTCAGTGCCATAGCTCAGGAACACTGGAAAAGTGGGCATTGAGAAACCATGTTACAGGTAAGTGTGTTGCAGAGCCGGTTGGGCAGAAAAGACCAATTTGGTCTGAGAACGACTGAAAGTTTTGACTTTAGTAAAAAAATGTAAGTGAGAATTTTATCCCGTGTGCAGACTTTAAGGAGCACTTCAGAGGCTGAATGTTGTCTTCAGCCCCCTATTTCTCTCAATCACTTTGTCAGTGTTAAGTGGTGCTATTCCACCACATAACTCCTACATGGTAGAAAGGAAATGGAGCAGTTCATGCAGACTAAGCAGTTCTCAAACACATGCAAACTCAGATAAATAAAACTGTCATTTCAATGACCTCAGGTATTCCTAACTATCAGTAATACAGCAGAGGGCTCCTGACATTCCCATTACTTCCTGGGCAAGAGATGCAGAAATAATTGAGCTGCTCATTATTTGGTTTAAAATACATACATATTTATATCCAGTTGCATCTGATTTTGATCACTAACACTTTGTGTTCATGTGACCCTATTGCTTACATTCAAACAGCCAGTCCCTCAGCCAGATAGAAACTACAGTGGAAGTGGAATTCTACTTTTCACAACAATGCAGCAAGGTGCATTACTGCTGCTTCAAAATAAATACATGTGTGCCTCTTCCAGAAGTCAGACTGGTCAAATCAGCTAATAGATGAAAGAAACTCCCCTGAGAAAATTATTTGTCTGTTTTTCAGGCAAAAGAGATGGCAGACAACATAGATTGCTGAGTGATCCCCTTGGGTCTTTTGCTTAGTTCCCTTATGTGAATTTCAAAATGCTACCAGTTAGATATAGGAAGAACCCTGTTACTGCATCTCCACTGGTGGCACATTTTTATTGCAGCCCAGCAAAGCATCTAGGTAGATCTTTTCTCAGTCTATTCATGTGGAACCAGCGAAAAATAGACCTGTCATGCAACACATCACACCTCCTGGGGAAAACAGGGAAAACAGAATGTCATGGGCCTTGACTGCTGCACAGCTTTGACCACAGAAGGATCTGCTTTCACAGGAGAGGCTTGTAAGAGCTGCAACAGTGTCTTTCCTTGATTAGGGTGATTCTAGATCTTCTGTGAGCTGTGGTAGAAAAGAGTCTGTCATGATAGTCCAGAGATCCCACATGCTATGCAGAGTGTGAAAGGTGCTGCATCAAACCCACTATATTCCATTAGATTCAACCCCTGGTTCTGCTGAGCTGGATGTCAATGTTTTATGACGATCATTTAGAGAGTAGGGAAAGTAGTTGGCTGTGAGCAGTTTCTCCTTCATATTCTGTTAATTTCTGTGCCTTTTCTTTCTTACCTCTATCCAGATCTGGTTCCAGAATCAGCGAGCAAAGTGGAGGAAACATGAAAAATTTGGCAACTTTGGTGGCCTTCAGCATCTTACAGAAGTTGATTTCATTCCTGCTCCTAAGTCAGATTTCACAGTAAGTATTGAACACTATGTATAAAGCCACCGAGGGAGAGACAGCTATCCTTCATCAGGTAATCACTTCACATGGGACTATCCCAGAGAAGGAGAACTAGAAAAAACAAAAATGGCAATATGATGACAAGAAATCCCAGCAAATCTGGTCAAATAACACATTTCTTCATAATATTAAACCCATTTTGTAAATATGCTATGAGGTGTCTTGCAGGGTAGTCTTTCCCCATTTTGCTTGTAAATCACTTCTCCATAAATCATACTTTAATTCAACTGTCTTTATCATCAGAAATTTTTTGAAGAGAAGAAAATAAGACATTTGCAGCCACAAAGCCATGTTTCTTAACAGACAGTATCTCTTTAAAACATCCAGTCTTGTAAGGCTGACCACCACTTTTTGCCCTTGACCCTTGCCATGTCCAGGACTATTAATATTATGTGGTTGGCACACAGGCTCTTTTCCTGACAGAAGCTTTTTCATGGCTAGAAAAAAGGGTATTTTGCCTTACTCCCTGGGTGACAGCACACAACCAGATTTTAGGAAGTCTAAACTTTTAGGAACTTTAGGAACTTCTAAACTTTTCTTCTTAATTACTGAGCACCAGGGAAACAAATAAGGTTGACTGTAAATTGTATCTAAATAAAAGTCCATATTGATTCACCTGAAACTACGTTTTTATTCTTGAAAGGCTCCAAGCTTGATGCCAAGAAAGCTCTCTGCTTCCTTTCCTGCTATGGGATACTACTCACCGCTGCAAGGACAGCTGACAACTGCCTGGCTGCCCAGCGCGTTCTCCTTCTCTCCCCACCACATGGAGCTGCTGTCCTTCCCAAAACCGTACTTGGTCTTCAATGTCCTCCCCCCTTACGGCTCGTCACTACCCCACAAGTTGGAAAGGAGCAGGATCTGCGCCAGCTCCACATAGAGGAGGATGCGGGGGAGTGGGGGACTTTGGGGGCCTGCCTTCCTCCCCCACACCCATTTTTGAGGTGTGCGACTCCTCTCCCCGAACAAACCTGCTGGGATGATGGGTGGCTGTGGTGCAAGGTCAGCATGCTGCAGGACTGCTACTAAAAGTTGCTGCAACCTAGAGAATGTGGGCAAGAGCCACCAAAGACCAGGAAGGAGCTCCTCATCTGCCTGAGGAGCAGCACGCTCCCAAGGAACCCAACCATTCAACTGAGCACCTCTCCCCGGGTGGACAGTGCACCAAGCAGCCCTGCAAAAGGACTGGAGTTTTACTCAACCATGAGACAATGCTGGATGACCCTATCGCACTGATGATGGCTTGGGGAAGGAAAGATGCCTGTGATAAAGTGCGCACAGCCCCAAGGTCCAGCCAAAAGGGCTTTTCTCTGCAGATTTGGGTCGCTTTCCTCATACATTCTGGTCCTCATGGACTGGAGATTGCAAAGAACATGTTTAGGTCAAAAATCAAACTTTCAAGATACTTTTTTTTTTCCCAAGTAGTCAATGAGGGAGGAGGGTGGGTTTGATTTGCTACCTGTGTTTTTGACTTGAATAAGAGGGCACAAGCACAATTTGAGCTGAAATATGACAGTCTGAGCTCTGGATTTGGTACTGTGAGTCTCTGGGGGCAAGAGAATTCTTCAGCTGGTTAATTAAAATGCTTATGAAGAAGCTTCTCATTTTTTGACCTGAATTAAGAAAGCTCCAAAACCCCATCAGAAACAATAACAAAAAGAGACAGCCTGAGTTTAATCTGCTAGCTGTAATAGGATGATATGACCCCACAGTTTAGTTTAATTGTAGATAAATAATGAGATCGGCCTGCCCACTTACAAAATGTCTCTGTGCCTTATTATTTACATAATACTCATCTCCTTCCAGCATATGGTGCTTTTTTTTCCCCTGCTTATTCAGGGTCCAATCCTGCTTCCGCTAATACCTCCACTGACTTTCACTGCTGGAAAGTACTGGTTGCACCACCTTCTGTCTTGTGTCCACAGCACAAACTGCACACTGACAGAGTGGAAGCTACTAAACAAAGCCATTAAAATGTGGTCTTCTTCCCAGAAATATCACTTGTAAGGGTGGCCATTCATGACAGGTCCAAGAGAAAAGCAAATTGTGACCCAGTGGTCTGCTGGGCAGGCTGTCCTGTGCACATGGGAGTGCAGGTGGGTTAATGCCTCTGAATAGATTGCTTACTTTAGAAATACCTCCAGCCAGACTGCAGCGGTCAGGTCTTGTGCCTTCCTATAGCCACTAATTGTTAGTTACATAGTGGGTCACAGCTTTCTTCTCGTCTGGATGGTACCAGCCTTCCAAGCACTTTAGGTTTGGAAGACCTGTAAGCTAGGAAGTAGCTGATCATTGCAGGGGGAAAGATAACTCCTATCCTGTATGAGTTTCACTTCTTCAGGCCACAACTGCTCAGCAGAACTTAGATGTATTGTGTCCTTCCTTTTATAAGTCTTATGTAAGACCTTTTTCCCATACCTGCTTAGATCTGAACTATGCATCATCTTCATCCCTGTCATTTTATCTGTCATCTGAAGGACAGTCAAGTCAGATACAGGGCTAAACTTCAGCTCCAACGAAGAGTTTATGCATCTAACTGATTAAAATCAACACAAATCAGTTGTAGTGTTCACCTCATGCAACTTTAGATGACTGCATTGTAGCTACTCACACCCAAGTCAAGGACTTTGGGTTCGCTTTTAAGAAGAAAAAATGATCATATTAAGGTTTCTAAGTTAGGCGCAGTTCACACATTAGTGCAGTTTCTGGGATGTGAAAAGGCCCTATGCAGTGATTATCTGGAAACAGACACGGGCATCGTAATCATCTAAAGCTAAGGGGCATGACCCTTTGCACAACAGACCAGGGATGCAAGCCAGCACCTGCATTGCTACAGCTTATCCTGTGGGAATATTTGTGTAGCCTGGAGGAGGATTCTGAGATCATCACCTGAACATTTTCGTTGGTCAGGATATGAAGCATTTTAATTCCATCAGACTTTTAATAGAAACCAAGCGGCTTTCCAGAGTTACTGCCTACTTTCTGCCCACTCCCATGTCTGTCTGACAATGTCACAGTCAGGGTTCCTACACATCATGACACCTGCCCAGAATATGATGCTTCATGCTTCCAAAGTCCTCTAGAAGCCCTGTTTTGGATGAGAGATGTGAAAAGCAGAGCTTAAGTAACTTCATATTGAAAAATCAAAGTCTTGAAATTCCTTTTTTGCTAGCAGATTCAATATTTGGAAGGTTTGTTTTGATGCAGAACAATTTTGCTTGGGTTTTCTTGTTTGTTTATGAAATTTCAAAATTTCCCATTGGAAAGCAAATCTAGGTTTCATGATGTGTGTAGCACTTTCTTCCACATGCAGCTGGTCAAATCCTAGAGAAACTTAGTACTATTGCCATGTTTTTCACCAATTTCATGCTTTTATTCTGAGGTGCAGCCAGAACAAATTAACATGAAGTGAGGCAGTTTCTGGCATTGGCACCCTTTTATACCCCAACATCTCCTAGTCTTTAGATTTTCATCATATCTCATTCTAATAGTGTCATCTTTCCCTTCCTCTGCATCCCCTACTTATTTTCCAAGAAAGAAGTAAGGAAGTTCCACTTCTTTCATGGCTGTGTTGGTCGTTAGGATGTTACTTTCACATTGTTTTATCCTCTGATGCTTCCAGAAAATGTCAGGTTGGGCACACGAGTCTTTGGGACATCCTAAATTCCACAGCCCTTCAGATATATAGGATTATTTTGGGAAAATGTATCTTAAACCTGACAAAGGGTTGCTTGAGGGACAGGTCATCTAAGGAAGCTGACTACACACTAGCAAGACCTGAGTATAGAAACGTAGTCATAGTTTCATCCTAACTTCAGAGTAATAGTCTGTGCTTTCCCTGAGCAACTGGCTGGAAAAAAAAGATATCAGATTTCTCACTGCTGGCATATGACTCCAGTTGTACTGCCTTGGAGTGAACTGGCCTATGTGACCTCCCACCATGTGCTACACTTGTCCCAGCCAGAAACACCCTGACCACCTCTTAGCAGAGTCATCCCACATCTGAAACAAAAATGTGAGGTTATCGTCTCTATACAAAGGGCTTGGCAGAGAATTCAGTTCAGGCTCAAATCCAGTCATGCTAACACTTTGTTCCCTTGGCAGATCTGAATCACTTCTGAAAAGAAGTAGCAATGAGAGGTGACAGCGTGGAGCTACGTGGTCCCTGTCAGTGGACATCCTGGAAGGCTGTTACCACAATCTGCTGGACCAGGTCATATTAGCTTAAGAGCTTCTTGGAAAAGAGTGACAGGAGAGCCCCGTCTTGTCCCAGTACCTGACAAAAATGAGAGGCCATTATCTGTAGTAGATGCTCAGAGGTTTTTCCTCACCTGATTTCAAATGACAGGATTTACAGCCCCCTTGGGGGAGACCCCTCTACAGTCTCACAACTTCCCATGACATTCCACTTACATTTTCCATACGACAGTTTCAACCTTTAATCTTCCCTAAAACCCCTTGTGACCTGAACAATTTCTCCCCCTGGCTTACAGCCCTGATTTCCATTTTCACACTGACTTTTCACTAAAAGACAGTTAGAGAGCCCAGGGGCATCTAGAAAGCTTTTCTGTTATGGTTGCTGCTGTTGTTCTGTTGGGGATGGCTAGAAAAAAGAGCTGGAGTTTGGAGGGGGTTGTTTACTTTTAGAGGTTTCTTTTTTTTTCTTTTTTTTTTTTTTTTTACCCCTGTGATTGCCACGTGTTCTGATCACAGTCAGAAAGAGAGCATGCAGAGAGGGTGCTGCCTGCTCTGCAATTCCAAACAGGTATACACTAGACCTCGGGTCAAAAAAAGCTCTGATTTAAAGCAGCCAAACATCTGGTTCTTCATGCTTTTCGACCAAGCTCTCAGTGCTCTTCCCACTCTGTGCCCTGACCTGACTCTACTAGGTGACGGCAAAATGTCCTTCCTCTGTTACCTCACATGGCCCCTTGGCCTGGATTATAGGTCTCACCTAAGGGCCTACTTCTATTTTCTTGCTCTGCTCCTTTTTTCCCCTGGGTAGTTTGGTTTATTTTTGTTATGAGAAAACGCTATCAGTTCTAGCTCAGGGACCAAATGAGCCCATGTCTGTGCATCTCAGGGAGATCAAAGCAAAACACTGGGTGTAAATAAGAGTTTAATTCAAAATATAATTGTCTATGAATTAATTCAGGTGGGCTTTTATCCAACCAGGATAGTTTGGCTCTCCCAAGAAGGGCTCTTGTGGCACTTCCTCCCTTCTTGTGCCCTCATGCAAACCTGTTCTGTTCCTGGGACAGCTTTACCCCTCTTCCAGGACATGTTCTTGCTTTTGCTGAAATCCATCATTTACAGTGTCTATCCAAAGATACGTGCATATAACAGTTTTGTTTTCAAGTGGCTAACAATAAAAACTCACCCCTTGATCTCCTGAAGCTCAGCAGAATGGAGAGGGTGGGAAGGAAAAATGCCTTTAATTTCAGCTCTTCAGAACTGGAGATTCTGAAAGGACTTCAGTTTGATCAAAAATGAACTTGGTGTCATAGTCACAAGGTGGGTTTAGATTAAATGCTTCAAAAGGAAACTCAAACAGATTTTCTTTTTAATCAGCTGCAGAAAAAAAGTCTGTCTCAAAGCAGTAGATAATTCACTACTCCAACAGCCATTATATATATATATATATATAATAATGTCATGGGCATTTCAAGGAGAGAATGTCCCCTCATGGGGTAGCTTGCATTAGCACTGCAATCCTTTCTGGAACCAGCATATCAAGCAGTACATGTCAGCCACCTGAACAATCTGCAGCTTGTTTAAGAATTAAAAAGTACCAGCCAGCAACCACGTGCCAAGAATTTGTAGTAGTTACCCCTTTTTTCTGCATTTTGAAACTCTCGTAGTCATGTTCTTTGCCATTGC